GCGCGGGGAGGGCTCGGCCACCCCCGGCCCCCGCAGAGCGCAGCGCCGCTTTCTCGGAGCTCGAAGTTGAGGCTTCAAGAAGGGAGGCAGAATTAGCCAAACGAGATAATGAAGGTTGCTCGTAATGTTTTTTACTGTGGGGAAAATTAACCAGTTGCTAATAATTGTATGGTCTCTAGGCCAGACGGTCCCTTTGATAAGTTAACATGTACTCCCTTTATGCTCCTGGTAGGGGGTAAACAAATGCCTGAACAAATACAAATACACATAAACACAAATGTGGAGAATAGCAGTATATGTCTTAGATCCAGATAATAAGTGTGGGTATTGTTATTTAGATGGCGCATACTGGGACACTTATCTTTTAGTACACTCCATTTTCTAACTGAATGCAGTGCTAATCGTGGGATTGAAAGCTATTGTAATTGTGTACCCATCTAAATGCTGACAAGAATATACAATTACATTGTTTGGAATTGAGTTTAATGTTCTCTGAATTTTATTAGCATTTATATTTACTTATGCATTAAAATTCTACACAAAAAGAGGTCAGAATACAAGAGTTGTAGACATAAATATCAGACCCATCCACACCTTCACTGCATTTTTCCTGCAAATACTGCTCAAATATATTTTATTTTATTTTATTTTTAAAGGAAGTGATAGAATCTGAAATGAGCAAATAATGGGTTTCCATTCTAAGCAATGCCTTTTCTCCCTCTGGATTTTGCAATCTTTTAAAGCTTTTTTCATACCCAACTTTTTATTATTATTTATAATGTGCGTGTTACCGGAAAATCTTTCCGCAGTATGCTTACCACCACACGATGTTTAAACACACATTATAAAGTGGATGTAATTGTAAACACTCAGAGGGATATAATTACATGTAGCAGATTTAGGAGCTAATTCTTTGCCTCTCTCTCTCTCCCTTTCTCTCTCTCTCTTTACTCTGCATTTTATCAACATAATTATTTTTTGACTGCAGACTAACACCCAGAAATTGACAGGCATCCATTATAGGCAGCAACTTGTTCACCAAATTGAAAAACAATGAACCGCAGGTTTATATGTGCCCATTGTCATACAGAATTACCGGGGCTTTGTTCCACAAGAGGAAAAAGCTAATGGTTTTGAAACAGCAGGTGACAAAGCACATTCTTTTTTTTTTTCCCTCTTTTTTTTTTTTTTTCCCTCCCCTCTTATCAGTTTGTTGATGAAGTCATTACGAACTGGGGCCCAGAATAGGGTTGGCCTTATTTTTAGCAGATAGACTTTTAATGAGTTCTATTGTCGAGACAGTCATGTTGATTTGCTTACGTTTTTTTTCCCCCCCTTCACTCAGAAACTCCCAGTATTGAAAAGCTACTATCAAAGGACTGGAAAGACAAGCTTCTTGCCATGGGATCAGGGAACTTTGGAGAAATAAAAGGTAACGCTATTTCTGTGCTAAAGCAAATTGAGAATGAATGTACAGATACCATGGGCTTTATGGAACTTTGTTTGCTCCTCTTCCTCTCCCCTTGAAACATCGTAATTTGGGGCTTAAATGAAATGTATGCTCTTCATCTGTGCTGATATAAATTAATGAAATGGTGTATTGCCCAAAGTGAATGAACTTACATAAAGCTTTTGTTGCATATATCATTCTGTGTTGTAAGAGGACACATCCTATTGCTGGTTTGGAAAAAAAAAAGTAAATTCACATCTCAAACACAGGCTTATGTGATATCGGAGTATAGCAGAGCTCAGCTTCTGAAATCTGAGGATGATCAGAAGTCCTTGTTAATTTTTGGACAGATTTTGATGATGTAGATTTTTTTGACTTTTCTATGTGTAGGGGGAAAAAAAAAGAGCAAAGTTTGTGTAATGATACCTCTAGGTACTGAAATTAACCAGTGCAGATTTTAAAAGACAGCGTACAACATCTGTGCGCTAAAGCATGTTCTTTTAAAGCCGTACTCCAGAAGGAAAATGACAAAATTTGACCACTCTCCAGCAGCAGTAGCTTCTGCTTTGCCAAGATATTTCCCCATTTTATATATGTGAGGTCATTTTAGGGAACCTGTAGTTGTTTGTTTTCATGTAATTTAATATTTTTATAATTCTTCCTCAGCGATTGTGATGAGGAGCCAACTCAAAAATACATGGTGTGTCAAAAATTTTAGTTTCCAGAACAGCCATTATCACTCTGAAAAGAAACAGTGACTCTGATTCTTTCCCCATTTAGATCAGCGTACATCTGGAGTAGCAAAATCAAAGCCAATGTCGTTTCGGAAATGTGAAAGTAGAATGAGATTAAAATTAAACCCTTCCTTTATGTTTATAAACTAGATTTCATTTCTCTCCGTTGTTTTTTGTCTGTTTGCTTACCAATGTCCCTGATACCGAGATCCTCATTCAGACAGGCTCACGAACCTCGTGCCTGACGGATTCAGGGACCTTCTGCACGAGAGGTGGGCAGTGTTCAGTTAGGAATACAACATGACGTGCTCTGAAAGGTTAGCATATCGATATGTGTGCACAGATAGCGTTATTTTAATTACATGTGCCTTCCAGCCTGTCACCGATAAGCCACCAGCATTAACTGACTTACACAAGTAGGAAAGTATGCCACTCGCTTCCCCCAGCTTCTCCCTCAGAGGCTGTAATTCAAAAATATATGTTCATTGCATATGTAGAATAGCTTTAAAACAGAATACAGTGCGTTGGCCCCAAACAGGCTGAGATATTATTATTATTATAACAGAGGGCCAAACCCTGGGTTCTGTATTCCCACTGAGCACGTTTTCTCCATGTGTGTAAAGCAACAGGTCATAAAGAGGCAGGGCAGCCTCTGGCCTTATCGTCGAGTTCTGGTTTGCAAAAGCATATTGTTTTAAAATAACATCATCCGCTGCCGTGAGCCGAGGAATCTTGAGGATGTTTCAGGCCCAAAGTACACAGGCAGCTTTCATACCCGCTTTTTGGGTGTGTATTTCAGCAGTTCTTGCATGTTGTCTGAAGCCTCTTTAACTCTTGGTATGCCAGAGCCTTTAGGAGAACTCCGAGCAATTCTCCTCTGCCTTTGGACTTGGGAAAGCAGCTCGGGACTGAGGCGGCGGTCTGTTCCCGCTCCTTATGATCTTGTTCTGTCGGAGGGCGATCTTTTT